AAGTTTTTGATGGTGTCCTCGCCCTATTTGTCTCTACCCTCAGGGCTGTGTGGAGAAGATTGGGGCCTGGCTGAGGAGCAACGTGCTGGTGGTGGCTGCGGCAGCCCTGGGCATTGCCTTTGTGGAGGTGAGAGGCACCCGTGGGACTCATTCCAGGGCATCTGGAGAGTAGGGGCAGCGGGCAGGAGGTGCTCATCTGGGGAGGGGAGCCCTGGGTGTGTTTGGGCTCTTGGGTGGTTGAGGGTACCTTGCCTTTCTGACTCCTCTCACTACCCGCCCCCCCCCCCGCCCCATCTTTCTTTCTAGGTCCTGGGAATTGTCTTTGCCTGCTGCCTCGTGAAGAGTATCCAAAGTGGCTATGAAGTGATGTAGGGACTCCGGTCTCTTTAGCCCCTCATCTAGGAGAGAGGGGTAATATGCTCCACATTTTTCAATTAAACTGATTATTTTTTCAGACCAAAAAGACTGCTTGTCTTGAGTGATACTTTATCCCTTTCTCTCCTCATCCATGCTCCTGTACTCCGGGCCTTTGTTCTGTTTGCACCTCCAGGAAGGAAGGCCTGTTGTGGGGGGTGTCTGGGAATGGTTGGCTGGGCTGGCCGGGAAAGCGGGATTGGGAGGAGGCTGTGGCCCACTGCCCTCCCCATCTCCTAGTGTGCTGCTAGGCTCAGTACTGCAGTTAAACCCACAAAGGTCCTACCTGGGAGAGGCCCGCCATGACATCTACCACCGACACCTCCTTGGCCTTCTGTCCAACTCAGGGCCCAGCAACTCCCTCCCCAGCCCAGGGGCCTGGCTCCTTTCAGGGTGGTGATGAGTTGCTCTGACATCTGTGTGGCCAGTGTCATCCTTCTTGACTTAGACAATCATTTAAGTGAGTACTACCTTTTTCCAGCCTAGACGTGACCCCTCCATACTTCTTTCCCTTGCCCCCCAAGAAAAATATGAGGGCCATTCCCAAACGTTGCATTACTAGTATTACTTCATGTAGAAAAGAAAGGAGACATCCAATAGTGCCCTCCAGTGGCCATTTAGGTGCAGCTTTAAAGACCAACTAGAGACGCAGCCCTCTTGCGCCCTCCAGTGGGTGTTAGTTATTTTGCAGGCACTGACAGCACTTCACGGAGCACCTTCGTTTCTGCCCATCTACTTCTTTAAAAACACATTTATTGAGTGCCTATTTTGTGCCAGTACCAGGGTGGGGACAGGAATGAAGTTCTTGCATTTGAAGAACAATCTCTTGCTGGAAGGCTGGGTTCAGGAGACTGCCTGGGCAGGCTTGGGAAGGACCCAGGTGAGCACAGCATCCACCAGGCTGGCTGGCAGGTAGGAGGCTGGCAGCCAGAGCAGCTTGGCGTCCCAGCCTGGGCTGTAGCGGGTTCTGGGGTGGCAAGCAGTCAAGGCATGCTCCAGGCACCTGCTCACCTTGGTCAGGTCCGGGTCACAGATGAGGTTCATGACATGCTGCTGCACCTCCAGGTCTGCAGCCCAGTGCGTGGTTGGAATCAGTGTCCCTGTCCCACTGTAGCCCATCTCGCGCCCTCTTCTGGGTCCTGGGGCTTGTTGCCCAGCAGAGGTGAGAGGGATCCTTAATCCCATCCCCAGTCACGGGGAACGGGCAGGCTCCACATGGCCTGGGTGTCCTAAAGCACCCCATTCACCCTCACCCACCCCGACTGCCCTTCCTACTTCCTCCCGGTAGGTTGGTGCAGGGCTGACCTTTCTGGCACTTTCATTCCCCCCTGTATGGGCCCAGCTACTCACACTTGGTAAGGAAGGCATCCCCATAGTGTGCCTGTGTGGCTGGAGGCAGCCGTGCCCAGCAGGCCTGCAGGGCGTTCTCCAAACTCTCCAGGTTTGTCACAGAGGTTCGGAAAAAGCCAGGCTCCACGATGGAGACTCGTACTCCGAAAGGAGCCACATCCCGCCTGGAGTGGGGTAGAGGGAAGTTTTTGGGTTCTTGCCCTAATAGGGAGGGGATGTTCAGGGACATGGGTGGGAGACTGTGATGGGAAAGTTATTAAACCAGGGACAGGGGTCCTGACTAAGGGATACGCTGCTGCCCTGGGATGAGGGGCAAGTGGGGACAGAGGGAGGGAGGGAGGTTTTTTCCCTGTGTATTCTCTTCTACAACCTAGAGCAGGGGTTGGGTCTAGATAGTAAATACTTTCTGTAATGCAGGACTAAAAATTAATATTATGTAGGTACTTATATAATCATTTAAAAATGTAAAAACCTTTATTGGCTTATAGGCAGCTGGTCAGATCTGATCTGAGAACCACGGTTTGCCAACTCCAGCCCTAGAAGAACCCCATTCCCTAGCTCCCAAAACACAGGGTGGAGTCTTGAGTGCTGGGAAGGAAGGTGTAGACTAGTATTTGCTGGGAGGAAAGTGGGGATACATCCAACCACCCCGGCACAGATGCAGAAGTCCAAGTATAAAGTATGTGTTTCATGATGCCAATCGGAAAATTAAAAGATAGATGGATAGGGACAAAAGTAGAACCTGGTTGGTGTGGCTCAGTGGTTGAGTGTTGACCCATGAGTCAAGAGGTCCCCGGTTTGATTCCCAGTCAGGGCACATGCCAGTGGGGGGAGAAGGGGCGTGTGGGAGGCAGCCAATCAATGTCTCTCTCATCGATGTTTCTATCTCTCTGTCCCTCTCCCTTCCTCTCTGTAAAATAAATACACATTTTTAAAAAAGTCGATATTGAAATTACTTGCGGAGTGATGGTGACAAAGGCAGGTTTCCTTCAGAAGGTGGGTTTGGCTTGGGGGACTTGTACTTCTGCTCAGAATCCAGGCCTAGCCCTGGCCAGTGGTGGGAGCATTGTCCTGTGTGCTAAAAGGTTGCTGGTTTGATTCCCACTCAGCACATGCCTGGGTTGTGGGCTCAACCCTGGGTACGGGGTGTGCAGGAGGCAGTTGATTGATAGATGTTTCGCTCTCACATCAATGTTTCTCCTTTCCTCTTGCTCTAAAAATATAAAAAAATCTTAAAATTCAGGCCCTGCTCCCATGTCGTCCTTGTCAAGTCTTCACTGTGCTCTCATGGGACTTTGAACATTACCATCTAAAGATGAGGGGCAGGAGAACAGAATGACCAGGCTCAGTAGGCGAGCACAGTTCCAGTGGTCTTGGGTAAGTTATGTTACTCTACAGGTATTAATACCTACCATGAGAATTAATAAGAAAACATGTAAAGGTAGCTCATTGTAATAATCATCTCTTTATATAAAAGCCTAATATGCTAAGTGTTGGATCAATTGGTAGGACCAATCGACCAGTCGCTATGATGTGCACTGACCACCAGAGGGCAGATGCTCTGATCGGTAGGTTAGCTTGCTACTGGGGTCCGGCCGATTAGGACTGGGCAAGACAGGCCAGACATGCCCTGGAGCCCCCCCGCAGTCCCTCCCCAAACGGCCAACTTCCCATGGTCCCTCCCTGGCCGGCTGGCCCCCATCAGGACTGGGCAAGATGGCCCTGATCGGCCCCAATCGCCAGCCAGGCCAAGGGACCCCACCTGTGCACTAGGCCTCTAGTTATTAATAATACTAATAATGATAGCAGGCTTTTGGAGGTATTTTCTTTTTTGTTAATCCTCACCTGAGGATATTTTTCCATTGATTTTTAGAGAGTGGAAAGGAGAGGGAGAGACAGAGAGAAACATCAATGTGAGAGAGATACATCGATTGGTTGCCTCCTGCATGAACCCTGACCAGGGCCGGGGAACCTGCAACCAAGGCATGTGCCCTTGACTGGAATTGGACCTGGGACCCTTCAGTCCACGGGCCCACGCTCTATCCACTGAGCCAACCAGCTAGGGCGTGGGGCATTTTCTATGTGCCAGGTACTGGTGGGCTTTACATGTATCTCATTTCACTCCCAACACCCATGACATTGGTCTTCTCATCCTGATCTAACAGATGAGGAATAAACTGGGATAAGAAAATTAACCTATTACAGAAAATTAACCTAAGACTCACATGAGAGGCTGGGCTACGAAGTCGAGCCCTAGACTATCTCCTCTGAAGTATTCCATGTTTTAGTCATCTTTGCAGGGCAGACACTAATTCTTTTTTGAGTGGGCTGGGAGCCTGGGGCCCTGCCCCCTCACCTCAGACTGTCTGAGAAGGCCTCCAGGCCAAACTTGGAGACACAGTAGCCCCCACCATTGGCTGCCAGGCGACCTAGGACGCTGGTGATGTTGACCACCCGGCCCCGGGCCCGTTGCAGTAAAGGTAGCAGGGCAAGGGTGACCCCGATGGGACCCAGTGTGTTCACATTCAGCACCCGGTGGAAGTCATCCCTGGTCAGCCATGGTGTGGGCCCAATGACACCAGCTACACCGGCATTATTCACCAGACCGAAAAGCCCTGTGGGGGGTGGGGGGAGTCACGGAGGGTAGGGCAGGCATTCCAAGGCCCCTCCTTCCTGGGCGGCCTGAGCACTGCTCCTTCCCCTCACAGCCCCCCTGGTTCCCACTGCCCGTGTGAGTGAACACCCTACACCATGTTCCCAGCGGCTCAGCCAGACTCACCTGTTTCCCCAACATATGTTTCCACCCATTTGGCTGCCCGCTGGACGCTCTGGGGGTCGGTGACGTCCAGCAGGGTGGTGTGGAGGCGGGAGGAGGCAGCCCGCTGCAGGTCCTCTGCCCCCGAGGGGGTCAGGCAGCTGGCCAGGACTCGGAAGCCTCTCTGGTCCAGCCTCAGTGCCAGGAGCCGCCCGAAGCCAGAGTCACAGCCGGTGATGAAGACGAAGGCATTGCTGGGGGGCAGGCTCTGCCGGTCTCTGAGCAGCCACAGTGCTGCCCAGAGTAAGACTCCCAGCAGCACAGGCAGCCACATGACCGAGCCCACGTGATCTGCAGGTGGCAGCCGGGCTGGGCAGGACAACACGTGCGGTTTACTCTGGCCCTCGAGCCCTTGCCCCTAATAGCCTCCCTAGCTGGGAGTCTCCGGTCTCAGCATCTGCTTGGCAGATAAATGGCAAACTGTGCCTCCTCTAGGCAAAGCCAGGATCTGGGCAGCCCCTATGCTTGTGGGTAACAATGAAAACCAGATAAGCCCCTTCCGAGTGCAGCCTGCTGTGTGGGAGCAGCAGCTCTGGTTTGCTGTCCCCTTTTCTCTCCTGCTGAACCAGGGACACCTGAACTCTCTAAATTAAGCCGGGCCTTGTTTTAGGAAACACACACGGGCAAAGAGCCCAGCACTTCAGTCCCGGTGGCCCCTACCTTACTGTGTGATGCTGAGCATCTCACTGCGTCTCTGGACCAGTTTTCTCACCTGCCGGGTGGGACCAGCACCCACACGCCCACTGGGGAGTTGTGCAGGATCAGAAGGGAGAAGTGTGAGGAAGCACTTAAAGCTTAAAGTGTGAGTTATCAGCACGTGCAATGCCCGGCAAGTCCGCCCAGCACCCCAGCTCCCGCCCTGCTCACCTCCTCTGGGGAAAGCTGGCAGGTGCTGCACCAGATGCTTCCTCCTTTGCTCCCAGTCCTCCCGGCTCCCGCACGAGCTACAGCTGAGGCCAAAGTCCACGGCGGATGGACTGGGTGCCAGAGGTATTAAGTATATGTGGGGGGAAGGGGGGGAGGACTGAGAGGCGGAGTCAGGGAAGCGGAAGACGGTCAGCCGCGGCTTGGCACGGGCCAGGCGTGCCCAGACCCCCTTCTTGGCTACCTTTTCCAGCCGGGGTTCCTGACCACCTCTGTCGTAGACTCCCAGGAGCAGGATCTATCAAGTATGACAGCTGCCCCTGCCTGTTGGTGACCCTGAACCTGTCATTTCTCCTCCAAAGCGCTCCCATGCCCAAGAGTTAATCTCCCACTGCCAAACCGGTTTGGCTCAGTGGATAGAGCGTCGGCCTGCGGACTGAAAGGTCCCAGGTTCGATTCCGGTCAAGGGCATGTACCTGGGTTGCGGGCACATCCCCAGTGGGAGATGTGCAGGAGGCAGCTGGTCGATGTTTCTCTCTCATCGATGTTTCTAACTCTCTATCTCTCTCCCTTCCTCTCTGTAAAAAAATCAATAAAATATATTAAAAAAAAAAAAAAAAAGAGTTAATCTCCCACAAGGTCCAGACTCATGACACGGCTTAGTACCGGGCTGGGAGAGGCCATGGGCACGTGGAGAGGCAGAGCACCGGAGGCGGGACCAGGCCCGCTCCCTGCCTCATTGCTCCCCTGCAGGAAAGGGAAGTCCTAAGTCAGGATGCTTGCTGGGCAGGACCTCCTGGGACCCTCTCTGGAGAGGTGTGGGAAACTCCGGACTTCTGGTCACCCAACGGGCGGGCGCCTGCACCAGGTGCCTGTCCCTTAGGGTCTATGACCCTTCCCCTCCCACCCCCGATGCTCAGCTAGTAGCTCCTTGAAATGTATCACAGAGAAATTGAGGCTTGTGTTTTATTTGTGGCCTGCCAGCCTCCCTCCTGCCCCAAGGGGAGGTGGAGGGGGTAGGAGCGAGGTAGAGGGGGAGGGGAGAGGGGCTAGGACGGGGCTGACTGCAGTTGTCCTTTGTAGACGTATTCCAGGGCAGTGGCAATGGTGCGCATGTCCATCTCAATGCTCCGAGCCCAGTTCTCCACATCCCCGATTTCCTGGGAAGAGGAAAGGGTGGGGGTTCTCAAATCAGGGTGAGTAGAGGGTGGCTCTAGTGGATGGATGGGGGCACTTCCCACCCACCCCTACAAAGGGCTTTGCTTAGACCCACCAGCTCCCTTTACCTTTCTCTAGCCTCTCTGACACTGGGGCCATAGATGGGGTTTCTGGGGCCATAGATGGGGTTTCTGGGGCCATCCCACTTCTTCGTTAGCCCCAGGTCTGAGGTGACCCTAGCCCCAGGTCTGAGGTGACCCTACTGGAGGCAGCCAGTGGGGGCCCAGGATGCGGATGGTGATGTCGGGAGTGTGGCCCACCTTGAGTGCCTGGTTGAAGTTTTCCACCATCCCGATCCATTGGCCTGTCTGCTTGGCAAATTGGGCAGCCTGGACCTGCAGGGTCTTCACCTCATGGTCCAGCTTTCTCTGGTTCATGTAGGCCTGGGCCACACTAGAGGTTGGAGGAGGGAGGATATCAACCCACCCAACTGGTGAGAGTGGTCTCCAGGACTAACACCCCACTGCAAGAGTGGGAGGCCAGCCAGGGGTCAGGCTGGGGACAACCTTGTGACTGACCCTGCTGGGATGTGATGCAACAAGACTAGTACATGCAAATGAACCCAGCTTCTTCCGCCCACTCCCAGGATTCTCAGGAGACCCTCGCTGGGAGCTGTGTAGAAACAGACCATCTCCTACCCCGAAGAGTTCCTGAAGCTGGGTGGGGGGAGCAAGGGCTAGCCTGGTAGGGGGATATCCCTGAGTAAAGAGCTGAGAAGAAAAAGGGGGAGATGGGGGAAGCTGGGAAAATCCAGTAGCAGGGACACATCTGGCAGCAACTGGAAGCCCAGGGATCTGTGCAAGAAGTTGGGAAGGAAACTTTGGCCGCTCCCTGAACCTGGGGTCGGAGGGAGAGCAACCCCCTCCCCAGGAACTCAGGGTCAAGAGAAGATCTCCCAGGGACTGCTTCTTGGCTCAGTCTCTCTCCCAACCCTTCTCCTTCCACCCACACAAATGAATGAACACACATGCACACGTTCTCCCTTCCTTCCGCTCTGCTCTATTTTCTTTTCTCCTCAATCAAGGTGCTGGCTGCCATTACCATTACTGCCATGAGGTTGGTATCCTCAATTCTCTGCCCGCCTCCACTCCCCCTAACCCTCCTGCAATAATTGTGCGATCATTGTTCTCCCTTACTGGCTGGTGAATCTATCACTACCCACCCCAAAGCTCTAGGTCAGCTGAGAGACTCCACATCCGGTGCCCCCACCCACAGGAATCTGTGGGGGCTGGAGAGGGCAAGGGGTTGGGGGTGTGGAGAGAGTGGGAAGGACACCTGACAGGGGCCGAGATAGACGGGGCCTTTGTGTTCCTTTCCGGGGAATGAGAGGAGCCGTGGGCAGCAACACAAAACCCTTTCTAATCTGGCTTTGGCTTAGCTGCCCTCTAAACTGAAAGTGGGGGGGCCCCTAGCAAAGTTAGAAGAGAGGAAGAAGCCCGGGCCTACGTCCCAGCAGAGCCAGGAGGCGCCAATGTATGTGTGTGGGGTAAGGCCCTGTCCCTGGGGACAGCTGGCCACAGCAGGGGGCCGTGTAGGAGCTGAAACAGTAAGAGTAGGGGGCTCCATGTTTCCAGATTCCTCTGGGAGTTTCTAAAATCTGTTTTTCCTGTTGATCTCCTGCTCTCCACTATTCAACTGAATGGAGGGAGGGGCCTGGAGGGCAGGGCGGTCAGAGGCCCTGACCACAGCCTTTCTTGCCCTGATCTTCCCCAGAAATGAGTAATGAAGATGGCAGCCCCTGCCTGGCTCACTTGGGTGACTCAGTCTCTGGATTCTCAACTATTTGCCCTGGGGTGGAAGGCATCATAACTGCCTCCTTTCTTCCAATAAACGGCCTACAACCATCATCTCTGTACCCCCCCGGGTCACTCACGGTCAAGAGAATATTCTTTGCTCCTTCCCAAGTTTTTGGTTGTTATCGGCATTTTCACTTAGGACTGGAGCAGAGGGTAGTCCCTGGAGCCCGTTGGCACCGGGACAGACTTTGCAAAAAAGCCCCCGCCCCCGAGGCCCAGAAGGAAGGGCAGAGACAGCCGGGCTCTGCTGGAGCGCCTGGCAGGGGTCCTGCTCTCACCCTCACCCTCACCCTCACCAGCTGTGCCGTGTCTTTCCTGCCAGCTGCTCCCCGGGCCTGCCAGGGGGTGGGAGGTGGAGAAGGCAGTCAGCCATGGTGAAGGAGGGCACCCGCCCTCCCACCACAGTGACAGCTGGCCTGAGGGGTGCGAGGAGGTGGGCGGAGGGCATCAGGTGGTGGGCACCCCGGAGGTCACTGTGAGGAGGGAGAGAGCTGTGGGTCAGAGCTGACTCAGCCTCTCTCCTGACCGTAAGCTGGGTGGGGGAGGGAAGGATGGGCAGCACATCCCTCCCTTCAAGAGCGGCTGCCCTCGGCCTTGCCTGCGCCTAAACGCGGGGCGGGCAGCTGGTGTGGATGGGAGGGTTCGTACCCCACATTGAGGTGGTCCACCAGAGCTTCTGTCAGGCAGGTCGCTGCAGAGATGGCCTCTCGCCTCCTCTTCTCTGCGGGGAGGAGGGGGAAGGGATCGGAGTGGCGACGAGGTGTTTCTTAGGGGGGCTGCTTGAAGGCCCCCCTACTCATGACTATTCTGCTAGTTGTGGGAACATGTCAGCTGATCTCAGCGCCAGAGCTGCAAAGGACTTCCCCAAACAGAAACAGCTTTCATGTCAGAGGCGGGGAGACCGGCGCCCGGAGAGGGGAAGCGCCTTGCCCGGGGACGTCAAGGTGCAGGGGTGCAGACTCCCCGCTTCCTTGGCCTCAGGGTCGGCAACTGCGGATCCCAAGCCCGGGTTCAGCAAACAGGCGCCCACACCTACTTGGGTTGTTTCCGGCCCCCGGAGAATCCCATCTCGGGCGGGTCCCCAACACCCTCCTCCCTCCTGGAGCCCCGCCCACTCCCGGGAGGAGCGGCCGCCGGGGCCAATCGGCACAGCGCCCCCGGAGCAGGGGCGGGACTACGAGGCCGGCGGCCCAGCCGAGGGGCGTTTCCGAGGGGACACGGGCGTCGCTAAAGGGACTGGAGCCCGTTGGCGCCGGACGGACTTTCCAAAGAAGCACCACCTCCCCGTCCTCCGACGCCCGTGCCCACGAGCCCGCGGCCTTCCCTGGATCTGGGCCATTACTCGAGGTCCAGGCTCCGGGCTGAGGCTAGGCCGCGGCGGGAGAGGACGCGCAGGCAGACAGGCTGTGGGCTCACCCTGCAGCTCCTTGCGTTCGTTCTGCTTGGCCTGGTGCTCCTTCAGCAGGCGGGACAGCATGGTCACGTCGGGCTGGGGGCGGGGAGGCTGGACGCGCCGGCCCGCAGACTCCCGGAGCGGGACGCGCGGCTCTGCGGGAGGGGCCCGGGACACGTGACCGCACCGTCACGTGACGTCGGGCCCGCCCCCTTTTGAGCCAAGGTTGGCAGGTAGTGAGATCTTGGCTGGGAAGAAAGGGAATAGTCAAGAGTTGGGGGCGGGTGAGCGCTTGTCTTTATGGTGAGATCACTTTTTGGTGAATGTTGGAAGACGTTTTCTTTACCACTCACGTTGCAGAGCCAATTTTTAAAAATAAATATTTTTTTATTGATTTCAGAGAGGATGGGAGAGGGAGAGACAGGTAGAAACATCAACGATGAGAATCATTGATCAGCTTCCTCCTGCACGCCCCCCACTGGAGATCGAGCCTGCAACCCCAGGCATGTGCCCTGATCAGGAATCGAATCCTGACCTCCTGGTTCATGGGTCGATGCTAAACCATTGAGCCACACTGGCCAGGTGCAGAGCCAATTTTTTCACCTGAGGATATTTTTCCCATTGATTTTTAGAGAGAGTGGAAGAGAGAGGGAAAGACAGAGAGAAATGTCAATGTGAGAGAAACACATCTATTGGTTGCCTCCTGCATGTGCCTGACCAGGGACTGGGCGGGGGAGGAGCCTGCAAGCGAGATACATGCCCCTGACCGGAATCGAACCCAGGACCCTTCAGTTCGTAGGCCAATGCTCTATCCACTGAGCCAAACCAGCTAGGACCAGAGCCAGTTTTTAACATTTCTTTTGGATCTCAGGCTCCTGGTGTGTGTGGTGTGTGTGGAGGGGCGGGGGGTGGGGGTTGCGGGGGGAGAGGTGGATGTTGCCAGGCTGTCCATCATGGTTTGGTTG